TTCTTTGATAGCAAGAGTTTTCTCGCTACTGGGTTGCCACCCACCTAACTGCAGTTTAGCAGACTGCCTACCGATATATTTTGATAGATACAGGTACGAGTACATGTAGATGCCGGATTTGCTATGGATATGCATGTTTCTGAGAATGGCCCCCCTTTTCGGTTTCACGTCTATTGTGACTTTGAGAGGGTGTGCTGCTTAATAATAATAATAGTGCATATTTTCATATATACATAAATGTACATGAAAATGCATTCCATTTTTACAGGCCCGATCACGTATGATATAATGTCAAATAGTAGATTGTCTACAAGTTAATAATGTTTGAGCAGCTAAATATTTGATATGTATATAAATACACTCATTGTCTGACCCAGGCCGTATGATTATTGAATTGAACAGTAGTCCTCCAGGCTACGCGGGAAAATCGACTTCGTTTCGTTTTCAACCCGTGTTTGTATGCATACGATAACCGACCAATATTGAGGCAAGTACAACATTTACAAGGGATAGTAAGCTGTTTTAGAAAAGTAAAGGTGCTAAGGTGAATCATTAAAGTGCAATGAAATAGGTAAGTACAATGTATCATTAATAGACGTATTCATGAAGGAAATACAATAGGAGACTACAATCCCTAGGCTGACAAAGTTCATTTGCAATGTATAATGCTACCTATATGGGTACTACTATCATGATGTCCACTTTTGGTTTTAATACAATTATCCACAAGCCAGTTGTTTTTATTTCATACCTTTTTGTGTATTTGGTGCACAACCGTACCCTATATTTATTTATATGAAAATATAAATTGTTATTATTTATTTTATTTTTTATTTTGGTAACAGCTTGATGCCACACCATATTTTCAGTACAAGCATGGAGTCCTCCAGGTTGCGCGGGAAAATCGACTTCGTTTCGTTTTCAACCCGTGTTTGTATGCATACAATAACCAACCAATATTGAGGTGAGTACTGTGCAGATCGCAAACAGAAATCGAGATTCATCTGCTTTTTTGTCAAAATTTCAGGGACATTAAAATCTAGAGCAGGGATAGCAGTCATATTAGTTTAGGTACTCCGATTATGGTTGGGCCTAACTTTAAATATGTCACTCGCCTTCCATCACAAATTTACCTGCTGATACGCACACTAGTAATGCACTGTTTTATCTATGGTTTGTAAATTAGAGAGTGGATACAATGCCTCATGACATGCTACCAGCACGTATTACTCAGTGTTGAATTGGAGGTGCAGATAAAAATCAGAAACACGTCTTGTGGGAATGGAACACTTCTAGGACAGTCATTGTAAAATTGCCAGTGATTTTGTAAGTACAAAGAAAAAACCAACAGCTTTCACTGCTTAAAAATGTTTCCCACCTTACAGTAAGGCAGGAATGTTTTGTGCAATAATGGTAAGAAGATATCTCGGCTTGAAGGAAGTTGGAAATATTATGAAATACTTTCAGAAAGAAGGAGGCTCCCATACACTAATAAATGTATAGAATAGTTGTACTTAGTATGTCCGTCAGCAGAGCAAAGCAATATAAGGTTAACAGTACATGTATTTATTTATTGTTTTAAAATGCACAGTAGGAGTTAAACATTCTAGATACAGTTAGAAAGTAGGAACTGGGTGGTGAGATTGTAAAACCAGTACAACACTATTATCACTCATAGGCAGTCGATGACTAAGGGAGATATAAGGATGAGACAAGCAACCAAGTAAGAACTATATCTTCTGTATGATTTTAAGACCCTTTTTCCGTACTGAATGATGAATGCCCTACTCTGTGTTTGAGTAGATTTCACCCGCTATATTTGATCACCTTTGGCCCGCTAATAAAAATATACGTTCAAAACCGACTGCTGTATTTTATCAATATACGGAATATCAATTGGTAATTTCGTGTTCACTTTATTACTATCGCGAGTTACTACGGAATTATTGGCGTATGTGGTTCGTGGAGCCGATGGCTGACGCACAAGGAAAAATATTTGAAGCCTGTTGGGCTGCATTCAACGTCTGCCGATGCAATCTCTGAACATTTTAAGCCATAACCTCGAAAACATAGAGGACAAGTGTAGAACTGCTTTCTTCTTCAGCTAGTTTTAGGCGAAACTGTAAAACACTGTGAAACGAAATTTTATTCTGGTGCTGCCAAGTTAGATACTAACACATGAGGCTGTAACTTGTGTGCCAACCACCATGCAATAATCTGAAATCAGACAAGCATCCTAATCAGCTCAAGAAAACCGGCTTAGTTACCTTGAAATACCCCCCCTCTAATAACAGAACCGTTGGGAGTTCTTGGTAAATGTCTGAGAACTTTGTCTGGACTATAACTTGCGGTCTAAACGGTTCCAGTCTACTAAAGCATGTTACTAGACTGTGGACTGAATTGGGCCATTGATCATACAGGAACAGTCACCAGAGTGCCTCTACTCCCGTAAATGGTTCTTCCCATCAATAATGGAATTTAGGAGCCCATCATTAGGTACCACCTCCTTTAATGACATTCTTTGTCCTTCGGTTCTACGTAAGACTCATGTGCTTTACCATCATAATATTCTTTCGGGCACTTAAGATGGACTTGAAGTATATCCTGTGTTAATTGGGGCGAATTGTTCAGGTTTCGTCTCAGCTAGACTATGTACTCTGATTCTATCAGCGCATCCCAGCTAGGTGCGTTTGAAATCAGATCACCTGACAGCCAGAGTTCTCTTCTGGTAATTATTCAACGGAGCTCTCGACGAGTAGCTTTGTAGTTACTCGCTCTGTGAACCATTAAACACTACGAGAGATCTCTTGTAAAGCCACTGGAGAATCTCAAAGATATACAGTTTGATGAAATTCCCTTGCAAGATTTCAACTTGTTCACCCAGCACATTCTGATAGTGTAGCTATTAGCCTTGAAGTTTGCATGCGAATTGGAGCGTGACTTGTGCTGAATTCGTGCTGAATTAGTTTCCTTGTTAGCAGTATGTTTCCATCGGAGCCAAAAGGGTCCAAGTTTCATTGAACTTGGCTGTTGACTACGAGTGAAATTCCAGAAGACGTTAACATTTTCTGATTCTGATTCTCAGTATCACTTCGTACGCTATACGTACCCTGTTCTGTTTCATTTCGTTCCAAAATGCAATGAAACTTTCTTTTGCATGTGAGGACCTTTTGGCTGCAATCAGCCATCCCGGACAGGTTTTATAACAGGATGACTCGCAATGTAACTCGCTGTGGCACTTCAGTAGACACTATGAAATCAATCTTAAGGAACATTGTTTCCAGTTTTAGCGGTGGCCCTATTATCGCCTCGCGTTACGTGAAACTTCCCTTGGTTATCGTAAGCCACAACTGGCGAATAAATATTTCGCACATTAAAGTCTCTGAAATGCACGAAGCATGTATAACCGAGGAAGGAGTTTAGGAGTCTACTAGCACCACACACTTTCTACTAATTATATACCCAGAAGCTTTCAGGGGAAACCTGATGCCGTTTAAGCCAGTGGTAGGGATAAATATTTTATCAACCTTTGACTCGCCTGTATTGTATTTAAGAGTTCTGGTGAACTTACCAGAATTTTGCAGTAGTAAAAGTCCTTCTTTGAAATGTTTTGTGAGGGTGAATGATCTCTCCATTGCTATGCAGATGAAGGGGATCAAAGAAGCTTGTCAACTCAATTTAGTCTCGGCTGTTTCACCGTCAACATTTAACTTGTTTGTCCATGAGGACTGAAACACAGGTTGGAGGATGTGATTTTGAAGGGGCGAGAACTCGGCAACTTAGCTGTGGTGTGATTACCTGCTAGAATACTCTCTGCGAATAGTCGGTGATAAATACATGTTTCAGCAGCCGTAAGTGTTATATTTTCCCTTCGCTAGTCAAGGCAGTGTTAACGAAAGCGTGGCCTTTAGGTTAGGCGGGCCAGGCTGAATAGTCAGTAGGTATTGTGGTTAGCACTCCGGTCTAGCAGAGATGATGGTCACACATCAATCATGAGCATTATATCTAGTCGAAACCAACTGGAAACGAGTCAGAAATCACTAGGGCAGCCGAACTAATTCGCTTCCTGGTGAAATGGCTACAGGTACTACGGTGCTTTGTGGAGATAGCCGGCATTTTGTTTCTGGTTCTTCCAAGCTTTCAGATGATCACGCTCTGTTTTTCGCTACTTTCATGGATGACGGGGCATGTCGGTTGAATTCCTTCCTTTTGAATGGATCAAATAAGTTCGTCCATTCAATTAAATCTCGACCTTTTCGAATTCTGTGGCTAGTTTGTTTATGCGTACTGACCGGATTAGATTCCAGACTATTGGGTTTCCAAGGAACAAGAGCCCAGTGGCTGCGCGTTATGGCGTGACTGGGTATCTCCATACCCTCCACACGTAGGTGTCAATAAACACAACCTGAACAGCCGTAGGGGTTACATTCTCCCTTCTCTAGTTGTGATAGTGTTAAGAAAACCCTAGCCATCAGGTTGGGTTGACAATGCCGAGGAGTCGGCAAGTACCGTGGCCAAAGCCCAAGTCTGACAGGATAGATGGCCGCACAAAAAGTGCGAGGCTTATTTCTCCTTGAAGACAGCCGAAAACGAACTTGAATTCCTACAAGCAGTGCAATTAATAAGTCCCATTTACTGTAGCGGAAATCGATATCCTGCGTCGGTGGCACAGCGGTTAAGACACTTGCCAACCATGTAGATGGTCCAAGGTTCGATCTCCAGCCGGTGCGCACCTGACATCAATGGTTGGCCTGCTAAATTTTGGCTGCCGATATCGCATGCTGAAAATTCCATACGTGTACCAAAAAATACAGTGTGGAATCAACGGCTGACCTTAAAAATCACGTTCTAGAACAGCTGTTAAAATTTCACTTGGAAATTCTTTTTGTCAATAATTTTTAATAAAATTGTGATATATATTATCTAGATTGACGGGAATTTTCATTTTCTGGACAGTTATTTTGGTGTCCGCGTCATGTAATCCGACTGCATATTGGTTGCTGTAATAGAAACTTGCTCAGTTAGCAGTTCAAGGTCATTGGGGTGGTCGCACTCCATTGGCAGTCAGGGGTGCTTAAAGTTTAACTTGGCCTATTCAACGTTTTATTTTCTTATTTGTCATTTTACAACATTGAGTGGAACATCTCACTTTTCACCCGTAACCTTAAGGCGGGTTACATGACTGGTAGGTTAGGTTGTGAATTTTGCGATTTTTGGTAGTTTGCAGAGTAGTTGTGATTGTGCTGTTGCGTAAGATTATAAAACCTTTGATTGTCTGTCAAAAAATGGGCTAAGTTTAGGCACATCCACTCTGATCGACCGTATCACTGACATTGCGCAACTAATAAAAATTCAAAAGCAACGGTTTATACATACATTTTCAAAATTTTATATTTCTTTACTTTCCCATTGGAACATGGAGCTTCAAGCTAGAGGCATGAAGTTTAGTTTTGTTTTTACGGGATGGGGTTGTTTAAACAACCAATTGGTTCATGCCGAACTTCCCAAGCTTACAATAATGCTGAATTAAATCTCACTATTCCTGAAATAATTCTAACATTCTATAGTGAGTAAATTCTGAATCTGTTCTGAAATGGATTCTTTAATGGCACAGCCTAGAACTCAGTGGTGGTTTTCAGCATAACTGGCACTGATTCGGCACCGTGTTCTTTTTCTAGGCATTTTTAGAAGTAGATCGGAACCTACTGGGTTTGTTTATCAGCGTTGTTCCAGCCCTCATAGGACATATTAAGCACGAACTAGCGTTACTTCAGAACGAAAAGACTTAATTCAACATCCAGCTCTCTTTTTAAGCACGACCAGCGTTATTTCAGAACATAGTGCGTAGATAAAATTTTCATTTACCATTAAAAGTCATTATCGAAGAATAGGCTAGAATAAGTTTAGAATTGTTGTAAACTTGGGGCAATGCTGGGGCTGCTATAGCTTAACTTCGCCGGAAAATGTGGTTTTCTTAGAGTGAAATGGCTAACGGGCTATAAACTCTTAAGTCTTGTGGACTAAGTTTTGATTGTGGGATGACACTAGACTCATCCACACTTATATGAGGACTGATGTTAACTGGGATGTCACGGTTGTATTAACTAATGCTTGTTTGGTGGTCTATAGTACGATCATATTCATTGATTCTGGGTATTACGGAGAGGCGTTTCTGAATCAAAACGCTTTGACAATTAGCTGTAGGTTATGTCATTATTCCAATCATTTGAGTCCTAGGCATAATAGGAGGAAATTTCTCACAAATGACTAAGAGTCTGAGTGAGAATTTGATATTCTTCGATGAGGGACAATCAAGTCTAATTGTATTCGTAATAATTAATTAGTATTTCAGCTGGCACCCCGAACTAAATTTCCAGGTGACATGTTTCTAATGTAAGACTCTTAGTTAAAACTGTCTTAAACTAGTGGCTGTATATCAATAACTTTCTTCAAGTGTTGGTAGACTTTAAGCTATGAGTGCTTTCAATTGTTCTTCATGTACTTAGAGTAGTTTTATGTTTCTCAGAGCAAAATTATTGTGTCCGTTTTCCTGTTATTAGTGGCAGACGAATGTAATAATTAGTGTCTCACGATGTTTCATGCTGATGTGCAATTTCTTGTTTCTTTTGTGGGATAATTAAATGTTGCTCTAATTAAAGTGAACTTCTTTGTCATATCGAAGAAACTACTTGAATTTTGTAGATTGTTTATTTGGGTTTAGATGTGTTATCCTATATCCTTTTTTCATAATATTTCAGAGTTTCTATTTTTCCGGGAAAGTAGAAGAGCCTAGGTGAAGGTGCGTTAGCAGAATTATATGTTTATGTGCCATTATGTGGATACGTCTGTTGATGTAAGTCATTTATCTTTTCTGACAAGCTCCTAGGGCTTATTTTTCCAACCCGGCATTGACAAGAAAGGTTTGATTTGTTATAACAGCTTTATTGTCCAAGTTAGCGGATAGCGCACCAATTAGATATGCTGCTCGTGCCACAGTGCGTATATTTTTGGAAGGCAAACAGAGAGGTAGGTTTTTCCCCTCACAAATCTGGATACATCATTCAGTGCTTACCGCTTCACAGAAGTACGGGGACAGTGATTTAATCGGCAAAATAAAGGCAGCTTTTCGTGAAGGAAAGTCCAAATTTCAGTAGGAGTTACCTCAGTAGTTCTGTTTTACTGTAAAATGAACAGCAGTTCTCTAGTGATTTTTCTGATGAAATAAATGTCATGATGAGAAAAAGTTTGGTAAAAATAAGTAAAACGGCTACGATGTGTGATTTTTGAAAATGTGTAAACAGATGGAAGTGTTTAGTCAGTGAATGTATCGAAAAAATTGAAGCTGGTAGTAGTTCTGTTATACAAACATTTTTTTAAATCATTTGTATCATCTTAACTGTACCGATATGTTTGATTTGGCTTACAACTATATTTAGAAAAAGATTTATTTATAAATGCATGTTTTGGTTGATTAGGGGAAATTTCGGGTAATTATTGTAATAATTTTGTAGTTGATTTGTCGTTCGAACTTCCAGTAACTCTAGTATTGCTTAAAAACATTTCGAAAGATTATTTTACCTGCGTATGACACGATTTCGATATTTCTAAGTACTTTGCATCAACACATCCATGATTCAACCAGTTGTATTTTCTACTTGAGCATGTTCATCATTGGGATACGGCAAGCTAATAGTTCTGGATGATTGCAATTATTACATTTTTCAACAGATGAGAGGTTTGTTTCTCAAATCACGTTCATAAAGTTATTGTAGAGATGTTTGAAATGATTTTTGAATCGGATTGTGGAGATGTTCCATTATTTCTGTGTGGAACAGTTCTGGTCTGCAAATTGTCGGTAATAATACAAAATGATTGTGTTTGTTGTAATTAGGAGTTTCATCCGGTAGGGTGACAAAAAATATGTGGCTTTTAATATTTCGCGTACTTACTGATTAGTGGGATGACCTGGTTGTAAGTCATTTTCGTTTCGCCAAACCGGGAACATAAGTTTTTTGAAGATACTTCAAAAACCTTGTGTTAATCTCTCTGTATAATGAAATACTTTAGTTTCCCTTGAAAAGCATTCTACTGCACCATTTGTAGCTTATTATTATACTTTCAATGAAATGTACTAGTTATTATATATAGGCGTATTTAACGATCAGATGAGGAACTGTGCAGCTGAAATGTAAACTTTCCAATTACGAGTAGAGATTAAATAACCTAACTTTAGTGCATCTCAGCTGCCTGATTTGGGACCGAAAGAATGTTCGATTCAGAGACTCGAGACGTTATCAGGTATAGTGTCTTCTAATTGCATTTAATAGGGTGAATACTAAATTAAGCAGTCAGCACAAATAGATGGTAATTAGTGTGCATTAACAGCACACCAAAGTGTCTGACTCAATCAAAAGTTACAGCGTAAATGAGGTCAAAGTAAAAATAAGCAAGAATTCGATTGGAAACTATGTGAAATTGAGGAAGTATAGGATGTGTGCATTTTAAACAAGTGTTTAGGTGTTCGTATATAGTTGCTTTGTTTCTGTTGTCAAGTCATTCATTCATTCATAAATTTAAAGTAGGTTGAGACTGAATAAACACTGTGTTTATTGAGTTTCCAAAACAAAAGTGAACATTCATTCAGTGCTCATAGTGATTGTAAAAACACGAAGAGTTGCAAATATTACAAAGGTCACTTTCTAGAAAAACGTTCGTGTTGAGCGTAGAAAGTTGGGGAAATGAGTTACAGTGCCTGTAAGGTTAATTGAAGTTTTGTTCTCTGAGCTACAAATTTTTATCCATTGCCAATGCAATTTATAACTCAGTCTTTGATTATTTTCAATCAGCTATAATTTTTATGAGACATGTGTACTTGGATGTTGGTATCACAGACAGATGTTCACAGACTCCAAATGTGGTGTTGGTATCTTCCACAGTTTTCTCATTTTTATATGTGACACAACTCAGTGACAAGAAATGAGATAGGTCATGCGTGAAGTGATAGTCTGTTGTGCTGTAATTGGAGATAGTTGGCTTTAAGATGGGATTACCCGACCGATAGCTGCTACCTTGACGTGGTGGTCGGGCTTGCAAATCGCAGTGACCCAACAAGCCACGCTGGCTGGAACTATTGTTCCTGCAGGTCCTACGATACCAGAAAGGATAGCGATTGTACTAAGAGCAGTTACTGGCATAGTGTAAGGATTTTTTTACACTAAGCTGGGGAACAGTGATGTAAAAAAAGTAAGGTGTTTCCCTCAGATGACCAGCATGCCAGCTATGCTGCCTCTCCACTCTGGAAAGAGGGGCTTAGAAAAGGTCAACCCCGAAAATTGTATATCCCGATTTACCCTACGGTGGTCTGTAACCGACGATACGTTTACTAATACGGAACCAATCCAAGAAACCAGTTCATACAGGCCGTGTGTGACTGACCTCAAGCAGTTGTCCCCTGGGTTCTGTGGTCACGCAACACTAATCCTCTTTCTGTTTCAGGTACCCGAAGAAAAAATCAACTTCCGTCGTGTGGGCAGCCGGGAAGTAACAACCGCCCACACACTTCCAAAAGCACACGAAGCTTTCGTGAACATCATTCTCCTTTGCCCGCATCACCTTACTAAAGCTGTCACTAGTCTGAAACGAGGCAAAGCTGCAGGACCTGATGGAATGAACTCTAGAGGTTTTTAAGGATGGCGGAGACAGTTTACTGTCTGTGTTAACTAAGGTATTAGGCAGCGTCTGGGAATTAGAGTAAGTCCCTTTGATTGGTGTGTCATTGATTATCCCGATATACAAGAAAGGTGACAAGTCCTCCTGTGATAATCACAGGGGAATTAGCTTGACTAATATAGTATCTAAAGTCCTTGGCTCAATAATATTGCATAGACTAAATGGTGCTCGGGAGGCACAAACACGAGAGAACCAGGCAGGCTTTAGACCAGGAAGAGGGTGTTTTGATCATATCTTCACTCTTCGACAGATTCTGAAACATAGGCATAATTACCTGCTTCCGACAGTCGTTATATTTCTTGACTAAAGACCGCATTCGATTCTGTCGACTGAGAGGTACTCTGGCGATATTCGGCTGTAAAGGGAATGCCGAGAAGATACATTGCACTGATCAAGGCACTCTACTCAAACTCATGCAGCCAGGTGAGGGCTTACGGCGAGTTGTCATCTAAAGTGGTGACAACTAGTAGTGTCCGTCAGGGATGCCCACTGTCCCCATCTCTTTAATTTCATCATAGATATACTAATAGACTTAATCCTAACTGACCAGCGACTCAGGGGTTGACTTGTTACCAGGGTATAATCTCGATGACTTAGAATATGCAGATGATATGGTCCTTGTAGGCGAAGACGCTGATAAAATGAAGAGTCTTCTGAACACCTTGAGCTGCAATCTACGAATGTTTGGCATGCGATTCGCTCCCACCAAATGTAAGATGATGCTACAGGACTGGACTACATTGACTCCTAGCTTAGAAATAGGGAGTGAAGTGGTAGGGCACTTATTTAGGAAGGTGCATCAGCCAACGCCAGTGGTTTGATCGCTGAAGAAATTTCAGAGCGGATACAGAAGGCTCGTTCGGCATATGCCAGTTTACGCCATCTCCGGCATAGACGTGATATCCGGCTGGCTGTCAACCAAAGGGCGTGTGTACTGCTCAGCAGTCCGCTCCGTTCTACTTTATGGGTGTGAGTCGTGGCCATTGAGAATTGAAGACATGAAAAGGTTAGCTGTCTTTGATCATAGGTATCTGCGTTCCATCTTTCGTGTGAGGTGGTGTAATAGAGTGAGCAATATTGAGGTGGTTAGGCATCGGTCGAGTGGTAGGTAAGCAGGGGAAATCAATTGACGAGGTTGTGAAGTTACATCGACTTATATGGTCAGGGCATGTGTTACGCATGCCTAGCTATCGCCTTCCTCGACGGGCAATGTCAGCTGATATAGAATGGGTCAAGCTGGAAATGAGCTAGCGGTGGTTAAACCAAAACATGGCTTCATCAGTCAATCAGATCCACAACAGTTAGTTTAAGCGACGTAGGAAGGTGTAGACTTCCTGGTTGGGGTCCTCGGGACGGTAAAAACCAATGCAGGCTGGAGGTAATTGGTGATATGGCTCAACATCGTTCTCAATGGCTGGCGCAGATGCATCCACCCCTTGTGACTTATAATATCCAGTAAAACTTTATTGTTCTTCTATACTGCTATCCTTTTTGCCTTATATCTCCGTTTGCTGTCTCTATTTTGCATTTCTTTTTACTTTCTTCTCTTGCTTTGCTTGTTGCATGGAGTGTGGCGACTCGAACTGCTGCGCATCTGTGAACAGTTCTACGTTGAAACCAGTCAGTCAAGATGGGATTAGTTTTTCAAAATGACAGCTTTTAAATTCGTCAGATGATGCTGTATACTAGACAACAGACGTAGTTTAATGCGCCTTAAGATACAAATTTAAAATTGTGCTTTGACGCTGCACTTTTGTTTTCGCTGCGAAAGGTTTAAATGTTATACCAGTCGTGAATGTAGGAATTTGGATGATCTTAAAATGTAAAAGATTGAAGTTTCGATAAAGAAAGGAAGCCGAAATTTGCAGTATAAAATGATATCACTCTATTTCACAGGTTCTCATCAGCTGCAGACTACCTGAAATTACAATGGTTATATAAATGATAATAACATACTTTAATGTTTGAGTAGTAGTAGAGAAGAGATAAAATTGACGCATCCAAAAAAGAATGAAAGCATTACAATTTTTAGTTTAAGTTATCATCATCAATTTATACACTTTCAAAGTTGAAAAGAGGGGGGAGGGGTAAGACAGAAAACAGAAAAATTGATTAACAGAAACAGTGTTAGCTTGTAGGTTCACATGGAAACTCCAAAAAACAAAAGCATTTACAGTTTATAAGATTGAGATTCGCTCAGTGAGTTGAGATCACTGAATTAGATGACTAATTGATGTAATCAAAGTCAAAATTTAGTTACCAAGGGAGTGAGAGGTTAATCACACTCTCTTTCTGTATGCACTTGCGGGAGCAAGTACATTGGAAGGACAGAAAGAAGGGCTTCTATCCGGTTTTCTGAACATATTCCAAGAAACCTATGCCTGAAAGGAAGCAAATATTCCCAGAGTGCAATTACCAGACATATTGTTGATACCGGACATCTCGTAGAGATTTCTAAGTCCTTCAAAATATTAAATAGACAAAGGACAGCAAATTTACTACGATTTGCCGAAGCGATCGCAATCAAACGATTTAAACCAGACTTATGCATACAGAAAGAGAGTGTGATTAACCTCTCACTCCCTTGGTAACTAAATTTTGACTTTGATTACATCAATTAGTCATCTAATTCAGTGATCTCAACTCACTGAGCGAATCTCAATCTTATAAACTGTAAATGCTTTTGTTTTTTGGAGTTTCCATGTGAACCTACAAGCTAACACTGTTTCTGTTAATCAATTTTTCTGTTTTCTGTCTTACCCCTCCCCCCTCTTTTCAACTTTGAAAGTGTATAAATTGATGATGATAACTTAAACTAAAAATTGTAATGCTTTCATTCTTTTTTGGATGCGTCAATTTTATCTCTTCTCTACTACTACTCAAACATTAAAGTATGTTATTATCATTTATATAACCATTGTAATTTCAGGTAGTCTGCAGCTGATGAGAACCTGTGAAATAGAATGATATCATTTTATACTGCAAATTTCGGCTTCCTTTCTTTATGGAAATTTATCAAGGGAACCAGCTGTATGAAGTTCTGAAAAGATTGAAGTGTTGGATATTTTTCTCTAGTCGTTTCAGAAAATGGCTTTAGTTTTATACGATAGTCCAACTAAACTATTTTGTTTAAACTGAGAGGTACTTTAAGCAGTAATTTGATAGCAGGATTGAAAATTACAAAGGAACTGAAAGGAAACTCATGAAAACAATGTTGTGATTAGTCAATCTATAGTTTTAAATTCTTGGTGTTAGCAAAAATGTATTCAGACGGATTCCTTTAAGATGGCATTTGAACACAAGAACAATGATTCCGAGTTACGTCTTATATGAGGATGATTTAACTTGGATAAAAAGAAACCACTTATAAGCCCTTGAAGCATTCTACACATTTTTCAATCCGTTTTAAAGTTACCTACTCAAAACTTTGTTTGGAGGTTATCTCGAGTACTGCTTAAACATGTAGTCTTCATGTGTTTTCAAGTTTACATTAATCGGGAGGTGACCCATACAAGGTTCAGTTTCAGTCAGTCTGAAACTTTGAGTAATTAAAATGATTACCGAAAGCCAACATTCACTGGGCAGTACACTAACTTCAACAGTTGGGTTAGGGAGAAAGAGAAATCTTATTCATTCCTTATGCTCCAGAATTCGTAAAATCTGCTCTGCAGAGACAATCGATAGTGAACTAGATAACCTTAGATCAAATCTCCTTAACAACGGTTATCCTACAGGGTTTATCGAAAGTAACATCAAGAAAGAATCCGCCCCTAGACAAATCACAGTGCTAAAGAAAAAAACTTTATGAGTCTTGCATTCAAAGGTGACACCATTTCGGAATTGATTAAAAATCGTTTATTTAAATGTATTAAACGCACTTTTCCTGCAGCTGACTTGCAACTAGTTTTTACCAGCCGAAATATGATTAGACAATGCGTCAAGGATAGATTACCGCTTTTGTCCACATCTATACTATTTACTCTTTTACTTGCTCTTGTGGAGCTGATTATATTGGACGTTGTAATCGTAATCTCCGAAAACGTGTAGCTGAATACTATCCAGTCTGGTTAATGAAAGGCGAACGTAGAACTTCGAAGTTGTCTATTTGTGATCCCCTGTTAGAGTCAGGTCATTTAGCCCCACGTGATACATCTTTCAAAGTTATCTACATGGCAAAATCGAATCGATCCAAAAGTTTACGTTTTCTTCACTTATGCATAGCTAAAGCTTTAGCTATACATGAACAGAAACCTAAATTATGTGTTCAAAAACGTTTTGTCAAACCCATTTCTTTACCTTGGTCATAGTAATGTTCTTTCTAGTTTTTACTTTTTTTTATTTTACCATTTGAATTCTTTCCACTTCACTTCACATCTTCATTCTTATCGTAATCGTACTCCTAATTTTTTAAAATTTTTAGACAACACTTGACATTTTTAAAACATTTTTGATTTCAATTCACTTATAAAACAATTTTAAATAATTTTGTAATTTATCCACTTCAACTCTACCCCTTATAACATTTTAATTATCGTTATTCTTATCACTTATATATGTATATTGACTGAGCAATTATTTAGTGCCACTTAATAACCTTTTCTGTAATATAAATACGACTGTACAGCGTGGAAATGAAGTCGATGAAAAGAAATTTCTTCGCTGAACGAAAAACTGTGTTTTTACTTATGAATAAAGGGGTATTTTTCGTGATTCAAAATGATTGTGATTGGTTCTGTCTTTTGACGATTTTCAAGAATCATTTTGTAGCTTTTAGATGAATATTTCTTGTAATCATATTCGTTGAATATTAAAAGGTACGAGTCACTTATTTACTCGCATTTTATCACTTTCCATTTCATATGAATGTTACTGCCAATAAAATCTTTTCAAAGCTTCGTTTCTTAATTTTCATTAGCTTGACTAACAGCAAAATGAAATTGAATTAGTTATAAGACAGATGAATACAGGATCGTGAATAACAGTGATGATAAGTACGATAACTGAAACTGGCTAATCTCACCAAAGGATTTTTAACCTAATAACCAACGTAGATGGATTTATCGTGATACTTTTAAATAATGAAAAGATGTGTATTTTCGGCCACTGAAAAGAGTCCGTTGTTGAAATTCCACTGTGTATAAAAGAAATATTGGTTTATTTTCCTGGTTATCCTGTGTTCAATCACGTGGGTTAGTTGTTATGGTATTATCATAAAACAAATAACAAAAACATTTGATTCTCAAAATTTCGTCAGGTAGTATCATCTAGATTAATAAGTGTTTAGTGTTGATCTGCATAGTTTTAAAAGTGCATTAATATGGTAAATAATGAAGTCCAGCGAGTTTGCTAATCCACACTTTAGGAAAAATGGTTTTTATCCTAATCCTGTGCATATTTAAGAATATTGTAGTTAATAGTGTAACGACTCAGGATATTCTCTAGAACCTATTAATTGTAAAAGCATGAATTATAATTAGTTCAACTGGGTTGGTTTTTATGGAATGCATCAGTAGAGGTTATTCCGAGCAGTTTGATTAATGAAGAGTAAAATCCATATATATTCCTCCGGTTCTGTTTCATTTCTGTTTGTTCCCCTCTGTTTTAATGTACTGCAGTATTTTTTAATGGAAGCTCTGCAGTACTTCGGCTAGACTTTGACGCTAGACTAGGCTATTACAGCTAATGCAAGTCTGTCTGAGAAGAGTGGTTGGTCATCATTGAATTTATCTGTGGTAGCCTGATTTTGTTATCTATGCAATGGTAAGGCGACTGAAGTTGAAACAAAACGAAAATTACAGTAAGTTCAAAATTGACTAAATCGCAGTTACTAGCTGGTTGATTTCTGATTTTCTGTCCAACTTCTAACAGTAGCAGAACAGTCTCTCACTAAAGTCAGTCTACTAAATAAACGCTAATCAATAACTTGTGACCTGTTGTTGCTTCTGAGGCATCTTGGTTTATTAACTAGAAGTCCGATGTGCGAAAGATGGGCATACATTTGTATAATTCATTCTCATGAGACCGATGAAAACCACTTGTAAATAGAAGTGTGAAATTGGGATTTTGTCAATGATGCAGTCTCGTAGTTCCTTTAGTAGAAAAGAGTCTAAGCAGTATAAAAATTATTTGAATGGAGTCTTGCGTTATCTGTAGACTTTCTTTGAACCTTAATTATCGTTCGCAGATACATATTATGCTATCGAATGTAAATGTTTATTGTTTGTCAACATTATATTAAAGTATACATTTGATTTAGAAAAAATAAGAACAAGAGGTAAAAATATTTATATCGTAACATAAATGTGCGATAAATGTTTTAGTCATTCATTAAACTTATAAGAGAATACATTACATTACATATTTGTTCGGCTTTGATGTTCATTTATATTTACACTGTCAGTTGATACAGCAAAGAATTCATCTTCTATTGATTGGAGTTCATCTTTCGGTGGGTAATCGGGATTGTGAGGATCATAACCAGTTTGTTTGTCTTTACGGAAGAGATCCACATTTTTACACACTGCTATACTGTTTGCAGTTATTAGAATTAGGAAAAGAGTCAGCCACTGGAAAAAAACAATTCAAAGTCAATTTGCATCAAACGTTGATAAAGTCGTTCATCTTATTTGCGCATAATAGGAAACGAAGCAGTTATTCATTAAAAATCTTCTTACCTCAAGTAATGTAGTCGTCATAGAGTCTAATGTTACATGGTACCAATAGGGGTTTGATCGTATCAGGTCGTAAGCCCACCAAATGATTAGTCCGACTCCAGAAAGTGGTACTAAAACACTTTTAAGAAGAATGAATATATAGGAATAAACTACTTATTTGTATGGAAAATTATTTTCATTGAGTCAAGCAAGTATACGTGCTCGTATTACGTGCATATAAAAAGAAAGGAAATTATCTAGCTGTCTGAAATACGACGAATCGGAAAACCACGCTGATTTACATAAGTGGAAGGACAAGACGAAAACCTAAGGAAAACCCGGCAGTGAACTGATGCGATTAGATTTCATGAGGAAAGTAAACACTGAATGACTGCTATGTAAATTACACAGCACTAGTACAGTGCGACAACTGTACACTGGAACTTCAGTTTGTATAGGAGAATAAACATTTTGTTCCAACTACGTTTACTTCACCTTGTTTTGTCTCTTTTTAAACAGTCTACTGCATACTTTCTATCAAAGTCTCAGGCAGTCTGTCTTGTTCTGACTTCTATCAAGATTTCGTATAAACGAGTATAGTATAACTGAAAATTTCATAGTGTCTACTTTCATATAAATGCAGGGGAATAAATGTATCAACTTCACAATTTCCAGTAGTTATCTTGCCAAAACTTAGTGTATGTATTAATGTGCGGTACATAAATTACTAGACTCCACTAAAATATGAGGATACTAGAAAATAATTTTAAAAAATTAGTAGCACAGCTGTGCATCATACTATTAGAGCTTTGAAAATTGGCTCCAGTTTTAGGATGAGTGTAAATATTTCGTATAATTCATACTAATATCAATTCTGATTGTCAGCAGTTAAATTGAATCTTCAAAACAACAATGATATCACGTTATCCGACAATGAAAGAATTTTTTTTAATCACTTACCCCAGTAATTATTCAAAATAGGAGTGTGTACTGTCTTAATTGAGCTAAACTTTCACTTAGACTGATAATCAGTATTTTATGTAGCACTTCTTTGCATTTTTGTGTGCATTTTTAGGCAGCAGATACTTATTTATCGACGTAATAGATTTTGGCTGTGAGAATTGCGAGCGTTATTACGTACAATAATTTATTAACCGTTTTATAAAAAAGGCACCCACTTACAATACCTGTAGTATCCTTAGTTTATAGATTTTTAGTTTTTTAAAGCCTTTTCGTAAGGTAAGAATAATTTGAACCTGTTACGTTTTCTTTTAATGTATGGGACAAAACTGTTGAAAAACTCAAAAATGCACAGTTAAAGATTTTCTCAGATTTATTCCTTACTTTTGACGACAAAGTAATGACAGTATTTCATTCCTAGACGTCTTCATGGCAAGGAAAGAAGATGGCACACTAAGAAGGAGTGTGTATAGGAAACCTACAAAAACAGGTCAGTACACTCATTTTTTGAGTTTTGTACCTTTGAAATATAAACGTAACCTGGTAAAGTGTCTGGTTCATAGAGCCAGGTTAATCTGTTCAGACGACTGCCTCAATGAGGAGCTTAAGATTATTAGAGAATTACTTAGAAAAAATGGTTATCCAGATAAGTTCATTGAGAAAAATATGAATTCAGCACCTAGGAGAGTCAGTATAGCAACAGTTCCGAAAAAACCAATGTTCATAAAACTGCAGTTCCTCGGTGACAACATCAGCGAAATAATAACACAGCGCCTGAAGAATGCAGTTAAAAGAGCTTATTATGCAGCAGAGGTACGTTGTCTCTTCACAACCACCCCTATTCTACTTTCGAGAAATAAGGATAAACTACCTAAATTTGCCTCTTCTATGTGTATCTACCAGTTTGACTGCAGCTGCGGAGCCAGCTACATCGGGCGTACAATTAGGCAGGTTCATCATCGTATTTCCGAACATCATCCAGCACGGTTAAGCAAGGGACAAACAAGATCTATTCGTAGCTCTATTTTAGCACACCTTGTAGACAGTGAGCATAAGGTTGATGTTAATACAGCATTTAAAATTATCTATCGCATTCCTACTAATCTTAATTTTGCTCTACGAGTTCGTCTTCTACAGACAGCTGAAGCAATAGGAATCCACCTGAAGAAGCCAAACTTGTGTGTTCAGAAGAAATTTGTACAGCCACTTTCCTTGCCTTGGCCATCGTTACATGAATGTATAAACCGGACTACTTCGCCCCCCTCCCCCTAAACCTTTAAAATTATAAAAATTATAATTGTCCAAATTATTTTATTTTTCTGACCATTTCATCTTTAATTACGTGTTATCCTTGTAAAATTAATTTATTCTAACCATTTCTACCTTTTAAATGTGTATTGATTTTCTTCGTTTATTATCAACCCATTGACATTTTGACACTGACTAATTATTGTTAACAAACATATCGCCACTTGATTGGTAAACTGTTGTGTATTGTAATGAAAATGCTATATATATATATTAGAGTAGAGCCAGAGATGAGGATCTAATTGAAAAGTAAATATTTCTTCGCTCAATCTTTCTGTTTTCTAAATGTCTAAATGGGGATTTTTTTTCTATATTCCAGTGTTGTTGTTTAATCTTGTAAACGCCTGAATAAATTGTTTATCCAGTCACTGAGGTTCTTGTTATTTGCGTGTGTTATTAGTTTTATGAGTGGACGTTGTTTTTTTTTTGTTATTTCTCTTTCCTTTGACTTATTTGGCTATCCATCACTGCTTAAAAGTTGACTGACTATGTATCGTTTTGATTTATCAAAACATCATTAAGCTATCCTTTCCTTCACTGAGATAATGAATAAAGCCGTTTCAACAGAACAAATGTTGACTTTGGTCCTCATCCAAGTAAGTTGTTGCACATATTGATTTGAATCGAGTGAATCCACTTGATGATTAGTCTTTTTAGGGTTGTTACATTGAAAGTCTTAGTTGAAGTAGAAAGCAATCGAATGAGAACTAACTTTTTATCTTTACATCTGCTTAGACAATATCAAGGATAAACCCTACCTTCAAATAAATAATCTTCAGTCATTGTTCTTGACACGTATTGTAGAGAATAGAACCATTTTTCAAGAAAGCATACAGTCAACATGTAATGTGATTTTGGGATTCGCAAGAAGAAATAACAGTCGGGTGGTGAACATTCAGGAGAATGAAGTACACAATGTTAAATGAAGATATAAAAAGCATGAACGTGCATTCACAGTTATTACTGCACAACATGCTATGATAAATATGAAGAATATCATTTGAATTTGTGATTCTATTATAGGCTTTCACTAATTTACCCTCACTTATAGTTTTGCTAACAGGTTTTGTTAGATCTTTCTATCAGTTTTCCCTCCAATGATACTAACCAGCGATGCTGGTGGATAGAACAGGTATTTAATCTTGGGATAACTAACTACAGATCAGATATCTTCATTAGTCCTAAGATAACGATTATCTATTTCCTGCCAGGAAATTTTTCTAAATGTTTGCATCGCCACTGTATTATCTAACCTTCTCAATCTGTGACTTTTCTGCACTTAAAGTAAATCATACTACGATCACTTACCAATAGTGTAGGTGCATACGAACTACCGTCATTTCTAGTGTATGTATTTTGGCTGTAATAATCCTTTAGTGTGTGTGTCAGGAAATTGCTGCATTTCGGTGGTGGGTATAAATGTTGTTTTAAATCGACTGATTCATTTGATACTGCAAAAAAGTTCTAAATAGATATGGATTTAAGCATACGAGTTGTTCAGTCGTTACTCTTACAGTATGTCTAGCTGTATCTTATAGTAGCATCATGTAAATAATCATGACGTTGGAATGCACATGTTTACGTCTCCTATGACTGATAACCTCTCAGTAATTAATCTCATCAAGGAACGTCCTAACCCTAAGTCGCAGCCAAATGTATATTATAAACTTCGTTTCGGTGACTTCTGTTCTGTAAACTGTTTCCAAATCTTACCATTGGACCAGGTAACTGGGTCATGACTTAGTCCTTTGAGGTGAGAAGCAGCTGTAATGTGCTAGCACTTTTTCATGCACGAAAGTCCCCTGAATGATACATCAGTTTTTTACAACTATGGATTCAGATTTTAGTAAAAATGGCTCATAATTAAAGCTAGTCTTGATTACAATACTGCTATTTCGTATTCTTTACCACTGTAAATAAATGTAAACTTGGTGAAAGCTTTTTTGGATAACTTATGGGCAAGCTTATTTGGTGATTAAAACGTTTCTCTTGGTCTTCTCACAGAACAATTATGTTATTTTGCGACGCTCACCTCAAGATAATAATGGAAAACGTGTTTTAAAAATGATATCACAATGAAAAATATACTGGGTACCGATATACCGCACTGACACTTAAACTCCTACATTCAAATGTTATGAAATATCAAATTATTACATTTAACAAACCTTATCATAAAAACCCAGACAATTGGAAGTGTCCAATCACCGATTCCAAAGTCATTCACAATTACTTTTCTGTATTTCATTGGACCGTATATCAACACCAAACCGGCCATAGCAAGACCTGACAGCATAAGCGCGAAACCCCAAACATTGTCCTAAAAAATAAATTAATTCAGGTATTGATTTGTTTGATATATATAATACATGATAATGTACAGTACATTCCTCAACAATGCTTAGGCTTAAGACTCTACGAGATCTGATAGTTTCCAACCTGAGTTAGCCAATAAATTAATTTTAAGCACACGAATAAGCACTAGGGATATATCAGGACATTACATGATGCGTATGGTCTGGGGTTCGATCCTCGGCCAACGCACACCTGATATCTATGGTCGGCCTGCAAAATTTGGGCTGCCGATATCACATGCTGAAAATTCCACCTTTCTACCAAAAATACTGTGTGGAGTCAAGCTATGATAAAAATAAATAAAAATAATTGCCTAAAGAAAAATGTGATGATGATGCAGAATATTTAGAAGAAGCAGTCTTTTACTGTACACGTTGCAAAAATAAAAATCTATTTACTCCAGTTTTTCACTATTTAGGTGTTTTAACTTCACACTATTAATGTATTAGTGTGTAACTAATCGCAATTAAGTTAGACGGCTAAGTTGCTTAAACTACTGGAAGTGTTACTTATGACTTTTCTATCGTGGTAACAATTATTCAAAAAGTACATTGTTTAAAGTGAGAATAGTATGATTAATTAAGTGATACTTGAGAAATCGCATCTGAGAAGTTCATATTCGTTTGCTCTCTTCATCCTACAGATGAAATGTGCTGATATGAAGAATAAATACCTAAGTGTATTATACAAAATGTATGTAGTACTTTTAGAACAACACACAGTCACCATGATAGCATCAGTTAACTATAATTAAAACAACATAAAAGCTTGATACATAAATCTCGTGACATATCTAAAAAAGTAAGAAATGAAATATAAATGAGTGTAATACGGTGTATTCCACTTACTTGATTTGTAAGAACATTTATGCTAAATGCAGAAGGCATACCGAATATCAGTGTAAGAAATAGACCAGCGAAAGCAGCTTGTCTGTGGCTCACTGAAATGAAAATACAAAATTACAACAATTAAAGCTCTGTAATATATTCTAAATATAATTAAAAAGAAATAATAACATGGGAAGCAAAGAGGCTTTCTTCTGAAGTTACATATTACATATTAAAACTTTTATGGATTCATATTTATGGAGAATGTTCCCTGCAGAATGGACCGCTCAGTCGCCAATGAAATAATTTTTTTCTTAAATTTCTTTTTGATTGGATAAATATAACTGTAAATTGAATGGCAGAATGAATAAGGCAGCCATCAACAGTAGATTATGTGTTGAATAGGAAGATGAAAGTCTTTTATGATGCAAGGTAGTTAATTATACGGGGCTAAATTGTTCAGAAATAAAAAAGCTTGAAGAAAATGAAAAGATGTAGATGATGGCAAATTTAATGACTAGGGACTAAAATAACCAAGAGGGAAACAAGATCTGATAAGAAGTGATGTAAAAATAATACCTTCCTCTAGTTTGAAGAAAGTCAGAACATCGTTCACTGACACCATTTTCAAGCAACATCATTTAAAATCAACAACTCTCATCAAAAACTGTCCAGTGAAGTTGTAGAATACAACTAAGAATTTCCTACTTAATTTAGGCCATTGTTCATAACTTAATGTCATGTTTCCCCTGGGTTACATCGAAGTCTCTCCTATTAAACATAAGTTTTATCGCTAATTTAGGTATCATGAATGTTATTAGGCCTTAATATTGGTTTTAACGACACAAATTGTCACCTATTCAACAGTGGATAAGAAAATTGTTGTGAAGATAATTATTAAATTTAGCTGAGTACTTTCTATTCACTGTCTTGATGTAGGGAAACGGCTGCTATTAGTTTAATTTCAAATAGTGAGAGTAAACTGAAAAGTATTCATTCTTGTCGAGACATTACATTCTGTTGGGACCTCATAGATTCAGCATTTCTGTGAGTACATGTCGTGTGCTTTTGTGGATTTTTGTGGCACTTTCTCCCGCGATGAGTCTGTTTGTATTTTGTGACACATTGGTACAGCTAAATCCATCTATTTTAGGCGTAATACTAACTCACACAGAGTGGAAATCTATATGGATCTTTCCAGTGTGGAACTAATATCATCTGTAAACATCCATCTAGATGATTACAACCATCAGCTTATGGGTGCGGTATAGTAGGAATCTAAATATCTGCTCATACATAATATATCCATATAAGGTTTCATCTATATCATTATTTGGCTTTTACTCTTCAGCTAAACACTATCAATTCCTTCACCTTGAAGGAAAACCGAATCTTTCTTACCACTGTGGTTGTGTCATATAAATGTCATCACCATATTCGTGATGCCAATCTGAATCTTCCTATTAATTTTTCTGCCCAGTTATCCATGAATGTGCTTGCCATAATCCGGGATACTGGTATTCTTTTTTCTCACGCATGATACCTTGAAAAGTAAAAGTAATGGAAATTAGCCATAGGTATATATGTCTTCATATCTCTTAACTAAAGATCATCTTTTTGTTTCATCAACGCGTTATCACTCATCAGATTACATTCCAAAGACTCTAGTAGTTATTTCAGCAATAGGTAGTGGTTCATTTCTTTAATTTCCGGAAGTTCTTGAAGCAGTCTCATCCTTATTGGACGCAGTGTTAGTGATGAGAGAGTTCAGGTGTATTTATTTCTTCACACTCTAAAGCTTTGAATCAATATTTCCGACAGCTATGAAGTATGTATCCAAATAAATGGACCATAATGATGAACTTTCTCTCAAAAATCACTTCAAGATTATGAGGAAGTGTTCGTTGCAGTTGTCTACCAATGTAAATGTGAATAACCGCCGCTTATACCTACTGATCAATAGATACAGTGATATATTTAAGGAATAATAAGCACTTTCTATAACTTACATCCTAAATCCTTCGCTGTTATAACTGTTAACTGAACATGACCAATTAATGAAGTTATCCCAGCGAACGAAAGGCATAAAAAGAATAAAGAGCATAAAACTCTTCCGAAACCGCCAACGTAAGCAAACAAGACTGGAATCCTATGATAGAAGAAAAATTAAAAGATTTCTACTCAGTCATCATAAAATTAAAATTAAATTATTACGTTGATTTTAAATAACTAAATGAAAATAATCCCCCTTAGCAACCTTGTTTCACAACACGTTAAGCAGTATTTAGCAAAAAAAAAGTGATCATCCTACTTTCTTATAATTTATAATGCTAATTTTTGTTGTTTCTCAACAAAGATGCATTAAAAATTTCTATACCGCTAGGTGTGATCAGTAAATTAGAAATGTATTTGTAATCCATGTGCTTTAAATTATGTAGAAGTTTCTTGAATAAAGTTTCCCATAAGACATTCTGATGACTAGAAATTTTTTCATTTTACAAATTTTAACTGAAAGAATTAGTTAGGAAATAAAAAACGATATGTAGGTACTCAGAAAACATCTCAAATTATCGTTGGTGTACCATGAATGTAAATTTCAAATTTGATGGCCCACTTTACTGACAAGTGAACGCGGGGAGCGATGGGCTCTCTATTGGGTCCCATTTTGGCAGATTTCTTTCTAAATAAAGTGAAAAATGGACCTCTGAACAACCTTATCAGAAAATTATCATATTATTGCTGGTATATGGATGGCACCTTTATTCTTTGTGGTAGTGATTCGGGTAGGAACACAATAATAACTGAATTCAATGAAGTACATTCTGCTATGAAATTCACGTGCGAGAAGAAATCCCAAAACAGAATTGCTTTCCTAGATGTTCACCTTACAAGAAAACCAGATGATAGTATAAAGAGAAATTTGCATAGTAAAAGCAAATGGATAGGACAATATACATATTTTCAAAGCTTCGTTCCTTTCCAGTATAAAATAAATTAAGTAAAGACCGTCAGCTACAGGGTTAGAGCTATATGCTCAGAAGAGGTAACTGAAGATGAACTAAGAATTGTATATGAAACCATATTCGAAGATAGCTATCGAGAAAAGTTCATTAAGAATCACATGACCAAGAAAGCGGAAAAGGACTATTCCCCATCTGTAAATAAGAAGCCTTTATATATGCAACTGCAATTCAAGGGTGACACACCTAGTGAAATAATTGCTAACAGTTTAAGAAAATCAGTTCACAGAATTGTAAATGCTGGTAAACTACAAGTCATGTTTTTACACGGCCGATGGTGATTCCTCAATTGAAAGATTAACTACTTCGACTAGCCACTTCCAACTATATCTACCAATTCAACTGCAATTGTGGGGTGAGTTATATTGGCCGTTGCTCTAGGAACTTGATTTTTAGCGCTCTCCCAGGAACATCTACCGGTATGGCTAAGTAAAGGTGTAGTAAAAGTCTCCAACAGTTCGGTATTATACCACCTGGTGCAAACCGGCCACAAAGCCAGCATTAAAGAATCCTTCTCTATCATCTACCGGGTACCAAATGAATTGCCAAAAACATCAAGGTGTCGCATGCTTCAAACAGCAGGGGCTATCGCAATTCGCGTCAAACAAACAGTGCTTTGTGTGCAAAAGAAGCAAGTCTGGTCATCACTACTACACTGGCCTTCATGAATTTGTATTATTATGATGCTTCCTAATTTCTCTGATATTCATTCAGTGTACTGTTATGTTGGTGCTAGTGAACTGTAATCCATTGATATTTTTATTATTATTGATTCGATGTTATTTAAACGACATTAATGTTGTCAGTAACACTAATTCATTCATTATTACGTATATATAACTGTAGAACCTGATGATGAATTTATCAAAAAGAATATTCTTTGTTCAGTAACCATTCTTTTGTAAAATTTTAATCGATATTTTTAATCACTTTCTTGATAGTTAAATGTATATGATCGCACACAGTACTGTTCTTCCTGTTGCAATAGCTCAAAACATTGAAGTGAAATGTCAGGAATTGTTGACCCACGATTTTGTGTTTAAAAATTACATGACATTTCAAAATACATTGTATCTATTTCTTATATTTCTTACCTAAAACGCATTTCACTATCTGCTTGTCACAGCATTTCATAACTGTGACCATAAAATAGTAATAATTAGTTTGTAAAACTAATGATATAAATCTTAAGTAATTAACACACTCAAAAATCCATAATAGGAGTTAAATTAACTACAAGCATTTTCACTATGCAAAAAAACAAACAAACAAACTGTGAATTTTTATCATAAACATACTAATTTGTTTTATTTAGTTAACAAAATTAAGCCTAACATTAAAATTTGCTACTTGTAACACAGAAATGTGAAAATTTACCAGGTGAATGTTAAACCTGTACTACCAGGTCCATTGGATTGCATAATTTTTACAATACCGGAACGTGTCAATGTAGGCGAATTTTGTATTAAAGTCGAAAACACAGTCGAAAATATTGTCAGTGCACAGAGTAGACTGAAAATGAATAGAATGAAAATCAATAATGACTGTAAATTTATTCAGTATGCAATGATAAAAAGATAATGCAATATTATATATATATATATATATATATATAATTGTATTTAGTCTTTTTCATGTATTTTTAAAAAGAAATAATGATACCTAGGAGTTAGGTAAATGATATGCAGACAACAAAAGAGCAACTTAGATAGCACAGCTATATTTCAGTGACTGAAGTATAATATTCGTGAAATTCTCTTCCGATCTGTGTCAAAAATGTTTTATTGTTGACTATGAGTAGTTCTTTTCATTACTTATACATTTACTCATCTTTACTGTCATAGGTATCAGCATACAACAGAGATGAATGACATTAAGTGAAACAACGAATCTACTTGAAGATATTCATTAGCATCACTCATTCTATCAAAAATGCTTAAAAGCTATTTCTTGACTTATCCTTAAAGAAGTACGCCGTAACACAAGATCATAGCGCAGCAACTTCGCAAAATAGAATAACAAATAACATTTTATTGTTTCTCTTATAGGTAGTATGAAAGTGACTTAACCTGTCGCAGTCCTTGAAAACTATTTAAACAAGTTGTTGGGTTTTAAAAAATGAGTCATTTAAATGTGTTACCACAGAACAGCTGCATATAAGCAACTAGTCTGTTTCTTCCGAAACAATAGTAGTTTTAGTGATGAAAATTACCACGCACATGGTCCGGGGTTCAATCCCCAGCCGATGCACACCCAATATCAATGGTTGGCCAACAAAATTTGGACTACCGATATCATATGCTGAAAATTCCATACTTGTATTTTGATTTGACACTAGTAACTAGCGTGATGCGTCTAGTCCTCTCTTTGGTGTAGACTGAATTCTATCAGCCAGGTTGTAATGTGGCCACAACCCTAGGTAGCTCACCATCACGGTACATATTGATTTGATGATATTAGATGGTTGGAGGGAATCGGCAGGAAGCCTTGGACCTAGGTTGCGTGCTTGCTGGCACTCGTCAGCAAGGCGTATCTGCAACCTTGAAGGAACTCATGTCCCTTCTGAGATTCGAACCCGCGTCACCCGGTGCTGCAGTCAGAGACGTAACCACTGAGCTATTCGGGCTCGCGATTGACCTCCTGTAGGACACTAGTTACTAGTGTCTAATCAAAATATCCACTACAGTCCTACAGGAGGTCAATCGCGAGCCCGAAAAGCTCAGTGGTAACGTCTCTGACTGCAGCACTGGGTGACGCGGGTTCGAATCTCAGAAGGGACATGAGTTCCTTCAAGGCTGCAGATACGCCTTGCTGACCAGTGAGTGCCAACTAGCACGAAACCTTGGTCCAAGGCTTCCTGCCGATTGCCTCCAACCATCTAATATTCCATACTTGTATCAAAAAGTACTGTGTGGAATCAAGCTATAATAATACAAAAAGTAGTAATTATTCTGCTACCGATTATTCAGCAGTAAACCGAAGGGTTTAGTAAAGTTGAAGGTATTCTAATTCTAAATCAGTGATAGGCAAATGTTCTTAACAAGACTAATTCTAATCAACTGAGTTTTAGTAATCGACTATGAATCACTATTGATTACATCTAGTGACAGCATAATAGGCCCTAATTGTTACGTAATAAAGTATCTATCTTCAAAAAGACCAAACAAGTGAAAAACATACCACAACAAAAAAAGGATATTAGAGTACAGCTTCATGTTATTATTTCAATAAATAAATTTATAATAACCAATTGATAAATTGAAAAAGTAAACATAATAAAAAATAAAATGTAAATGAATTGCTTATATATCTGAAACAAAAGTGATATATGTGAGTAGAGCCTTCTTTCTAGTTTATTTATTAAACATCGCCTCTCTGGAGAAATACTTGTGCTGCTAATGACGTTTTGGACAATGTGTATAGTGTTCTTCTGTTAATTGTAGTGTATGCTATTTTGAATGGTCAACAGTGAAAATATTTTATATGAAAAAGCTATGCTTTTCATTGTAAAAACTATTTCTTCCTTTTTTGATGTTTTAAATTCCTTTTTGTTGATTAATTCTAAATTCAACCTTTTTTTTGGCTGTTGACTATTCACTAATTAATTGTCAAAGTAATAGTGTTTATTTGTTTTTTTCTAACGGAGTGATATGTGTGTACGAACTTAAATAGCTAAGTATGAGATGAGATGTACTGAAACTTACGGCGTCGACATTTTTGCTGACTAAATATGATGCACGGATACGTGGAAAACCATGCAGACAAGAACAAGTATACCTTCGCTGGTTCATTGAACTAGTAGCAGGAAAAGGAGGAGGAGGAACAGGATGCAACAACATAGAATATATTGAATCCAAATAGCAAGCACTAACTGATTCAATGATAAAGGTATCAAACGGTTATATGATTATGATAATTGCAATGATAAATACATTTTCTTCAATGAATTCCATCATTCTATTTCATATATATAACTGATAAAATCAGCTTCACTCATTAGAACTCATTGTAATCTATTGCTAATTCTTTATTAGATCCATTTTTGATGTTCAGATACACCTATTTCTCTGGCTTTTATTGACTGGAATAATTAGTGATCTAATATTCGTAGTGGCGGTTCTACTATCTATACTAAATAAATGCAGTGGGATGAGACTGTACAGCTCTCCGATACGTCATCATTCATCATAGGGATTTGATTATGATCAAAAAACTACTTCCACTAATAAAGGTTTCATTGTTTGGAATGAAATAATTATCGTCTGCGTATTTCCTGCACTTTTATCTGTTGCTATCTTTGATGCATATTTATGCATTTCCCTTAAAAAAACTTCATATTTTTATTTAACTGGTAGTTTGTTGATAATGCTAAGGGAGCTAACTATTATAGATTTCTTTTTGTTGATGGAATTTTTTTGCTATATGTCTGTCCACACAGTTGAATTAAAAAAGTCTGCCAATTTCCTCCTCCCTGACTTGCCTTCCCTCCTATGGTAAGACACGTGATACAAACCAAAATATATTGACATCTAGTGAATTCAGAAATAAAAACAATTTGTACAACTTACAACTAGTTGAAGTTTTACCTATTGCTTAAATTTCTTCCCTATTTCGCAGATATCATCTAAATTAAAGGAATGAAAACTAAGCAGTTAGATTTGTCTATGTTCAGTACTTGTGGTAATGAAGAAATTACCCTCTTTGGATTGTACAGTTGACGAAGAGTTTGGTGCATGAACCAGACTTATTGTGGGTACTACTGACTCATAAATATTAATTCAATCTTAACTGCTGTCTATGGTATGACCTACATTATAGTCGACACCACAATCAAACTACTTAAAGGTGAAAAAACCCATTAGATTTTCCAAACATTTTGTCATCAGGATTACATCTCTTTATCAGGTATCTAAACATGTTTGCTTTTTATTGTAAAAGCAATGTACTTCCCATTTCACCTTACATCTGTTCCTCAGAACCAGTAGCAATAGCATGGTTCAATTTGAATCTATCTAAGTATTATTATTTCAATGGATTTTTTGACATGAGTTAGATCCTTCGTCTCGCCGTTTGGTGATGGAAGCTGTAGGTTATTGTTTAGTCGAAACAGAATAACTCACCTCACCATATTATTACACATTGGAATCATAGTCCCAAGTCGTACAGAACCATTTTTTCGATTGAAATACGCAGAATACGAAATAAACAAAGCCATAGCTGCACCAGTATCAAAAGCATTTTGGCTAGCAGCAGCAACCCACAAACTGGGGCTGAACATGCTACCTATATTTTAAAAAAGTACTTCGGTATTAAGGAAATTTAATCAAATATCAAGCGTTAATTATGTTACGGTTATACTATGACTTAAGTCTATGCAATAACTAGCATGGAATCATGCTCCTGTTTACATCAAGCATAATATTAGGCAACATCATCCTGAAAAGGCTGGGAGATACTATGGATAAATGCATATGGGACATGTGAAAAACAAATCACGCGGAGGTGAAACTGCAATACAACGCATCGCAGTCATGTGGGGCCTAAAACAACATTCAACTCTCTACCTCAGCTTTGTCGACATTGAAAAAGCCTTCGATAGTTTCAACCGCAAAGCACTTGTGAAACTGCTTCAGCAATAAGTAAACTTTTATAATCCTCATTCAACAGCTATATGATATTGCCACATAACAAGTATTTCACAACGAAAAGTTTATCGAAGCCTATGAAGTAAGACAGGTGTAGAACAAGGTTTCTCACTATAGCCATTGGTTTTCCTGATTGTGGTAGAATGAATTGAGCAGCAGACCAAGTAGGGTGAGAAGATAAGCTTACATCGGGTCGAGAAAGAGGCCCCCGAAGACCTGGATTTCGCAAAAACTAGGAAAATTACAAGCGAAAACCAACATTTTGGCAGAAGAGACATAAATTCAGATAGATATAAAGAAGACAGAGGCAATAAACTTATTCAAACAACTACAACAAATACTGATCACCATCTGTGTGAGAAATCTCCTTCACTTTTCAGAGATATCACTCTGAAGCTGTGTAATGGCACATGTGTAAATATGCAGAAAGAAAGAGAGGTGGCCTGGACATAATCTGATGAGGATTTCAAGTGACATCACACATCAGTCTTTCGAGTGGAACCCGAGGGTGACATACAGGGAGTTATTCGAGAGGAGCATGAAGTACCATTATGAGCCATGGGGCCAGCTGAAAGTGATGACAGAGAAGCAGTTGCAGTGGAGATGAACTCCTGAAGTTCCATTTTCCACTCTGATTGCAAGGAATGAAAAATAACAACATGCTGTAACTTATATGAGTTTAAAAACTGGTATGAGAATTTTAACTGAAGTGCTGTTATCTATATGGAAGATTTGTTTAATCTAGAGAAAATATAAACACAAATTCATGCAGAAACTAACCCCAATAAGGAGTAAATAGAAATTTGATCCCAACTTCTGAATATTTTCTTGTTAATGACCATCCAAATGTAAAAATCAATATTCCTAGTAACATAGGCACCAAAACCATGTTGGCTTTCTCAATCCATTTTATACCTCCAAATATACAGGCACCAACAATAAAAACAGCTAATGCATGAGTTAATACTGGCCAGTAGGAGTCCTATAAACATGCACAAATAGTTATAGAAAAGTGTAAGTGAATACTTATATGGCTAAACATTTAAAACTAAATGTTTGTCAATTAGTAATGATAAAATATTTAGTTAATACATTATTAAATTTTAATAACCTTTTAATATTATAGAAGAGAATATGCAACAGATGTGTTATTTGTATGAAATCGTGTATTGACAACATATTAGATGTATTCAGACTGTACCAAGCATAAGTTTCAAATGGTTTTCTTTACTTACATTTTATGCATATAGTCTATATGAATGGATTGAATAAGGCAAACTAGATTGCCTTTTGTCTGGTTAATATATATAGCTGCTTTTAGCTAAAACTTACTTGTGAATCACATAACCAAGCAGTAGATAGCTTCAATAAAGGGAGCCCATATTAGTTTATGACAATGGCTCAAAGAAGCACTAAGTAAGAATGTATTGAGGCGTAATTTTTCGTAATCTTCTTTTTGAACATTCATTCGTTTGCAAAATTGCACGAATAATTGGAAATGTGATTTTCAAAGGTCTGTTCATCTTTATTAGTCTTGTTGTAAAATCAGTCAACATTTTTATTCATTTAAGAGATGAAGGAATAATTTAAGTCACTCAATCACTTAGTGAGTTTGCCCAAGTGATCTAGATAATCGTTGAAAGATCTTAATCACATGGGTGAAATGGATGATAAATATGTCAATAAAATGTTATAATAATCTCAGAGATAAAAACAGAAAATATATAATGGTACGTAGAAAGTCTCACCCTTGCAAATGCATTGAAAATCTGAATACTTGTTTCTTCATCTCTCGGAAGACTTGACAAAGCACAGGATTTGTAAAAATAGTATAAACACCATCCAACGATCACTGAAAAATAAGCACTGAAAAGTATGAAAAGAAATAAATAGTTAGTTAGAAATACTATAAGTAATTATGACATAAATAATTCAGGCATCAAGGTAAAACATATATAGTAAACAGTCACATATTTCAAAGAATATTGCTTAGATATTTATTTACTACTCAGTGTTCAACAGATTAATAAGATTTTTGAAGTCATGTGTTTGCAAACATGTAGTAACTTGTCCCTTTAGACTACTCTAGCCTCAATCCAATAAAGCCTGAGGACATTTTCATAATGCATATTTTCATCATGTATGTGGTTCATTTTCTTATTTGTTATGCAATCAGCGTACACATGCGAGGGTATTTCGTAACCACTAATTAAATGAAATCATTCACTGCGTTGATGCGATATAGTTATTTACATCTAAATTAAATAGGCATATATTTTATGTATAATCAGCGTTATTAAGTTGCCTCAATAAATGAATTAGGAATAATTGATATTAGATGATTGGAGACAATCGACAGGAAGCCTTGCTTGACATAGGTTTCGTGCTAGTTGGCACTCACCAGTCAGCAAGGAATATCTGCAACCTTGGAAGAGCTCATGTTCCTTCTGAGATCAGAACTCGCGTCACCCAGTGCTACAGACGTAGACCTTACCACTGAGCTATCCAGGCTCGCGATTGACCTGCTGTAGGACTGTATTGGACACTTTGATTGGACATCAGTCGTTAACTAGTGTAATGTGTCCAGTCCTTTGTTTGGTGAAGACTGGATTCTATCAGTCAGATACGCCTTGTTGACTGGTGAGTGCTAACTAGCACGAAACCTAGGTCCAAGGCTTCCTGCCGATTGGCTACAACCATCTAATATCAACAATTCAAAGTGCACCGTGATGGCGAGCCATCTAGAATGGTGGTCACATTGCAAACTTATCTGGTAGAATTCAGTTTGCACTAAACGAAGGACTAGACACATTATACTAGTTACCAACTAGTGCCCAATCAAAGAACTATGAATAAGGATTAATGTGTATAATAGAAGGAAATAAAAACTTGTGAAATGAGATTATCTTATAAACTTATAATCAGGTTACTTAAAGTAGGTTACTGAAGGCTGTTAAACTTTAACTGAAATTCAACTGAAATTAAAATTTTCACAAATGAAAATAGAAAACTACCTGTATCCAGATTTCATTATCTGGTACGTTCAGTAAAGATGCCATAGTAGCAGAAGATTCATTTCTTGTAGAATCAGCGACTTAGATTTTGTGCGAAAATTTATTCAAAAGTCTACTTACGTGATCATATAAGTTACACCAACAATCCATCCTCCCAACCATACCAATTTATTGCCAAGAAACCTATGAAATGCACCCAATGGTGATGTTCGAGTAAATCGACCCAGTGTATATTCAACAATACTCAATGGCAAAGACCATATAAATAAAGATAATGCCCATGCAATGAGAAATGTTAGGCATCCTAAAATGTTTTTACAAAAAATAAATATTTCCGTTGTATAATGAACTATTGTCATTTGGTTTAAAATTATATTTATATCATAGAAATAAATAACTGGAGGGAAGATAAGTGTTAAATCAAATGTATAGTATTTACAAAAGTTTTGAAACTCTAAAGTCATCAAAGCTCTTATGAATTTATTTCATTTAGTTCAAAATTTTATGCTCAAAATTCTAAAATGTAAATTAAATAATTAAGAATTTCACTCCTGACCCAGCTTTAAAAAAAATTAATGTGTTAATCAACAAAAGCCACTAGAAGAAAAATTCTAATCTTAATCGTTAATTTATCAGTACATATTTTCGAGGATGATATTATCTTTTTTCTTCTGGATGACTGATTATAAGCTATTCTTAAAGAAAATGAAATAAAGGTCAGTAAAATGCAAAAGAAGTAGAATTATAATTACTTCCAAGTGTCCATATCAGCATTAGCTGATTTATAGACAAGATAGTTCTTTTTTTATTTTTTTTTATTCCTGTACGTTCCCAGTGGAACATAGGGCTTCAAGCTAGAGGCTCGAATGTTCGGTAGCAGTGGTGTTTATTTTTACGAGATGGGGTTGCTAGCCTAATGCCCAAACTTCCCTCTTTACCAGTCTTATTACTGGCTTAGCTACGTAAAAGGAGTGCGTCGGTCGGGGATCGAACCCCGGGCCATATGCTTGGTCGGCGAGCATTATATCGCTGTGCCACCAACGCACTTTTTTGTTAGCATCCACCAAATCTCATATCGCATAAGAATACGATTGTAAAAATGCGAAATTTCATAGGTGAAAAAGGATAACTATTCGATGAATATTTGAATTTCATAATTACTGCAGATTTTTAAACTATACTGAGAATTAATATACAAGATATTTTCTTCAAGAAGCTGTCTGTTGTTGGAAGTTATAATTTACAAAAGAATTTCAGTTACTGGTGTGATCATGAGCAGTAAATTTGCTCTAAATATTATTAAAGTCAGAAAATCTATCAGTGTGTTAAGAACAATTAAAGTATAATTATGATAAATCTACAAGCTTAATTTTATTTTTCAGGTTTTGATCACAGCAGTGATTTACTAGGCAAACCTGATTTAGCTTTGGAAGTATCTTACAGTGTAAAGAACAAAATGCAATTTATTATTAGTATAACACCTCCGAAAAAAATAAATTCAAAAAAGTATTATTGCAACAGTCACCTACCTTGAGAGTAACTTGTACTGGCAATAATACGTGGGAACCGCCATATGTTACCTGTTCCTATGACACAACCCAAACAAGAAAGTAATACACCAATCGGAGAATTGAACGATGATAATTCAGCCTGTTGAGCGACTTTCGAGCGTGGACAGGGTTTTTGATCAGATTTTGAGTGACTGAACTAAATGCAAAATAATAAAATGGTAAAATAAATATATATGCTGTTGTGCTTATCCATATAGTGGAGGGTTTTACATATTACCACAGTATGGTGTCATAAGTTCATTTACTGATTTCGAAAGGTGATTAGCTCATTGATTTAAAAACTAAGCGCTTCAAGGTCAGTTAGTTTCACTGTCATAATCACTGGTCCATTTGTTATTTTGAAGCATCCATTACAATAAAATACCTTTCAAAAAAACCTTTATAATTTGACAGTCTTCTGGCTTGTTATGAGTGACGCTAAAGCACATCATGTTACAGTATTTTATTTATGGTTATGAAGCTTAAAAGTGCAATATTTTGAGATAAGTTATGTATATCACTAGTGATGACACCAAGTAATAGACTAAAATATGATGACAGTAATGATAAAATGTGGTTTGAAAAGTGTTGTGACTTAATCTTATAAAGTTAAGAATAATGTATTCACTTGATGGCGTTTATGGAAAAAGCAAATAACTTATATATTCAAGCATTTATGTTACGGCTGTCGTCACTTATTACTTAACTAGTAAAAACAATAAACCATATTAAAACTCTTAAAAAGTAGGATATAAGAAATTCAGACTTATAGATTTACCTCGTCTGTAGATGCATGAAGTTTTCCGGAGCCATACTCTACGAGATCCATGTCCGATTTAAAAGTAGGGTCATGAAAATCCACTTCCATTCTCCTCCAAAATAAAAGTTTACGCATAAACTCCATTTTGCCCATGGTTGAGAGATCTTCACTGAGTAATTTACGAACTAACTAACAGGCACTGTATGCCTTCATCTAAAAGTGATATTCAGTGTCTGAGCGGCCTATTTTTACAATAATTTCTGGTCTGTTGCAGGGCTTCTGATTTGATAAGCCGTGGAAGACCAGTTATTTACGAGACATAATTTCGTGATTTAAAAAATCACCAATGAAATACGTCCGTGAAGGTCACTATGGAATTTGGATCGACGACAGACATGCAGGATGTTTAAATGTCAGTATTCAAAAAAAGAAGATACGTAATGGGAAAATGTTATGAATTCATAATATTTACAATTTTTTGAAGATTCTACGAAACTGGCTGAATCGAAATGAAATAGGTTGGAATTTAGCCTATTTCTTGCGTCTAACATGAGTTAACTATATAAATGTATGCACTTAAAGTCACCTTGAAAGTGTTAAAGAATATTTTTTTAAAAACTATAATCACCTAAAAATTAAACTAAGGATACTAAAAATTATACTTTTTTTCAAGGCTGTGAATACGGATACGTCTTTGACATCCATTTACCGAGCGGTTGGGACCTGTAGCAAATTAAACTGTAGTATATCCAATTAACGTTCTGGTATGCCTAAGCTGTCTGCATATCTATGATTAATTATACAATCTATGTCATCTGTCTCGATTGGTAATCTGACCCAGATTAAGATTAGATTTATCCGAATACCATACCAACTTAGGCAATTTCCTGTGGTTGGTATGCGACATGAAAATAAGTAAATGCTTAGTGTTTAGTAACCGAAGGTTAAAATGTCTGAGTAACCTTCATCAAATAAACCATACATAAGTAGAAGTGGATATTTTTTATCAAACTTTGAAATAGAAATGGAAACTCCTGTAAAGCTATTCTCTGAATCTTTGAGTTTTATTTTAGGAGAATAAAGCTCGTCAAAACTGCATACGCAATATCTCTTAGTTTCTGTGTGAGATTCGTAAACAATTCTTTAAAATTTCTCTAATATTTCAATATCTACTTTACTCTTGAAAAGGTTAACACCTTAATTTATTCCTGGAAGACAACAACAGCACCAGCCAAAAGGAACAGCTGACTTGTTTTATGACTGACTAATATGATAGTCTGAATATTATGAATGAATATGAATATTATGAGCCTGTTCCTGAAACTGAAGATCAAAACTTATTCGTGTTCACTGTACCAAGTATAATATTTCTTCATCGGGTTAGAAATTTTAATTTTATTTGTGTTTACTGTATGGTTATCAAGTGCTTCACATAAGAAGTAGTGCTAGGTAAAAATGCCTCGTTTCTTCCCAAGGTTAATTTTGTTTGCTTATGAATAAATTCGGGTGTTTACAAAACAAAACTGCTACTATACTTTGGTCTGTACAGTCACAGGATAACCTCATTCAATTTCATTTAACTTTTTTCATTGAGAACTGCGGTGGTTCGCTATGTGCAACACTGTATCAGTCAGCTGAATCGATAAAGATTACAAGTTTCAAGTACAACTAGTATGAACATTAATTACTGTGTTTCTGCGCGTAAAGTGAATGAAGACATCTGTGGTCAGAAATTTGTTGTTTCTTTGTGTCTCCTACAGACATGGAGTACGATAGGGAAAATTGCTGCTTGGTGCACACGCTTTCACTTGGCTATCTCGCTGTCGTCAAAGATGAAGCAGTCATACGGCAAGTGAACCCTTTGTATCCGTCTATACCCGAAGCTCCCAAGAATATAGACAGTTAACAGGTTTGACCACCTTACTCTTTATCCTCCAACTAGAATTCAGTGTAAGCCGGTGCTGTAACATTAACTTTTATTTGAAGTGCACGAAACACATAATAAGTTACTTCGAATTTCGCTAAGTGTTAAGACTGTATTTTGTCGCATTCTTAACTACTTTAGTGTCTGTGGACATTAGGTCAGTATGATATTCTACTAGTACCTGTTAAATTCTCAACACATCAAAGTCTGATGGAATAAGCATTATTTATACATTTATGGTGAAATTTAATAAAAGTGGCTATATTAAGCATGTTAAATGGTGACATAAACTAAGATGACGGCTTTCTGTGAGCTCTTACATAACTGTATACTTCTGAGTGGAAAGCATTGATAGGCATAACACACCTTCTGAAAAATACCTTAGCAACTTTACTTTACCGCAATATCTTTTGACTGACAGAGTCAACAGCTGACATCATACCAAGAAATGTTTCAGGCACTGGACGCTAATAAGTATACTTGTGTTGAGGGACTTTTTTGTTCCCCGGTCTACATTAATCTTTCTGTGACAGTAAACACTATGACAGTGTTGAATTCACCCTCGTGTAGTTACCCAAGAAAAATTTGTTGTACTTTTGGAAATCCACTGATATTGTTTTGTGATCAAGGACTATAGTGCTGTAAAGCCAGTGTGATTAGGTAGTTGACAAATTATGGGTAGCCAGAGGATACTATTCATAGAAAGAATAATACAAGGCATTTGAATCATTTATTGATGTGTGGAGTGTATTTCTTCACTCTTGTTAGTTACGGTGATATTCTATCAACAAGGGTTTATGCACTGTGTTAATCATCTCTTTAAAGTTATTAAAGATAGTGCTCATAGAATTTTAAACTTTATTACTTCAGTATTGATTTATAAGACACTATTAGTAACAAAGTGAATTAATAAACTGGACTAATATTAGATAGTTGGAGGCAATCGGCAGGAAGCCTTGGACACTTCGTGCAAGTTGGCACTCGTCAGCAAGGCATATCTGCAACCTTGAAGGAACTCATGTCCCTTCTGAGATTCCAGCTCGTGTCACCCAGTGCTGCGGTCAGACACGCTACCAATGAGCTATTCGGGCTCGCGGTTGACTTCCTGTAGGACTGTATTGGATACTTTGATTGGACACTAGTAACTAGTGTAATGTGCAGACTGAATTCTGTCAGTCAGGTTGGGTGATGCGGGTTCGAATCTCAGAAGGGACATGAATTCCTCCAAGGTTGCAGATACGCCCTGCTGAGGAGTGCCAACTAGCACGAAACCTAGGTCCAAGGCTTCCTGCCGATTGCCTCCAAGCATCTAATATCATCAAATCAATGTGCACCGTGATGGCAAGCTACATAGAATGATAGCCACATTGCAAACCTGACTGATAGAGTTCAGTCTGCACCAAAGAAACGACTAGACACTTCACACTAGTCATTAGTGTCCAATCAAAAAACTGGACTGATGCAAAATATTCATAAGGCATGAGAAATTATGTCAGAGACTGATGTTCATTTTTCTATAATCTTGATTTCTGCGACAGTTTCAAATATGGCTATTAATTTCTGGTATAATAATGTGAAAACTTAGTGTTTCAGGTTGCATTGGTAAATCTGCCTGTAATGATTTCAGATTCCTCAAATCTCGATGAGTATTTACCTATTCGATGTAATTAACTGTTTATATCTTTATTGAACCTATCACTCTAATTATTACGTAGTGTGTTTGCATATTTATTAAGTATAGTGTTTTATTAAGAACAAAAAATTACAGTTGCAGAGCCAGGCTGATTTGGCTTCTTGACTTGTTTCCTGAACATTTTCCTTCTCAAAAGCTTCAAACGAGCAAGAATAATCCTTAAAACAGGATGATATGGATTCATTCTATTTCGTTGTAAATCTTCACCTACGTAAGAAACTATATTTTTCATTACATTACATTATAACCAATTGTTTTAAAATTTTTGTTCATTCGATATAGACCAGTAATGTCACAATATATACATTGGGTCGGGTCCCAGTGGCTTAATCGTCTGCCAGCTCTACCAGAAGGTCCTGGTTTCAAACTCTGGTGGGTGCGTACTGATGAAGAGTCCCAAACTAGGACCAAACAGATGTCCAGTGCTGCCAGGTTTTCCAGTAGTTCTGTAACCGATGTCAGCTCATGATGAAATCCTCCAACCAATCAAAACAAAAACCCCACAAAACCAATAATTGAAAATACAAAATTGTTCGGCAAGAAGTCAAATTATTACACTAGGATTATATACATATATATATCTTGAACCTTCTACTTCGTAATGCATATAAATTAATGGTGACTTGAACTAGATATTTTGATGTGTAATCTTTTGATACTGTTAATTTCGGATATCCTAATTTACAACTCCTTCTGTGTTATGTTTTCAACACTTAAAGCATGTGATTTAATTCTATTATGGCCATTATATTTTTAGGCAATCTTCAGCTGATGATACCATGTGAAATAAAATGTTATTGTCGGACGTGTTTTTTAAAAAGTTACTAGTGAGAACACGTGTGTTTGAAACAATGAAAACTAGGGAAAACCTCTATCATTTAAAATACATCAAAGAATTATGTTAGCACAATTATTTCTACAAACTTACTCCTGTGAGTGTTAAATGTACTTTGCTTTTTAATTTACTTCCAGAAAATAAGGTACATTTTTGAAATATTAACCTTTTTTTAGCTTTTGAAAAATTAGTACTTAAACACACTTCTTTGGATTTATAATTATTTACTATATTCCACATTTAACTTAATTATTTGGTAATAAAAGTATCATTCAGTGATTTATTATTATGAAGAAGATATTTTATACATTCATGCAAAGTTAACAGTCAATATAGCTAATTCTAAATGATCTGAAAATCGATTAACTTTATTTCTTTTGTCTTTGTAAATTGATTAATAATTTGAAATACCTAGACTAAATGACAGTTGTAATGATTAAAAAGTTCATATTCTGTTTGAGATGAAGAATCAGGAAGTGTTGCTAGTAAAACTATCGTAAGATTTGATGAAAAAATAAATCAAACAAGTACGGCATTACATTAGTCCAGAGAAAATAAAAGTATTAGGTAAGTGTAAGTTGATTAATTCAAAGAAGTAATTTTGGTAAATGTGTATATCAAAAATTCAGTTTATGTTTTTGTATGATTTCTTGTCATAAAACTGATGAGCATTTGGAGGTTACGGTTTCCTGGAAAAACAATTGTCTAATATGTATTATAATTTCCAAAAATTAGATAAAATGGTTTCTTGTTAGAGTTGTAAGCTGACAAGGTAGGGATGAGTTTAGACATTGAAACTGAAAAGGCATAATTTCCTCTTTCTACCAGTCTTTATGTCCAATACTTTCCAGTGTTATTCTTCAGCGAATTTCGCGTTACATTCCAGACTTCCAGACAAAAACATCTCCGCAGAATTCAATAAAGTAAAAATACCTGGGATGAAAATAGTAGATTGTTAATGTAACCAACTGGAAACTCACGGCGTAGATATTATTATTTCTATGTTCTCGTTGCAAAGGTGATCTGAAGGTTTTACTCTGGGATCACCACTGGGTGGAATCAAGGAGGATTTTTCCTTGAATGTATTAGACAATGGAACCTTGTTAAACAGATGACAGGCTAACAGGAACGCGACTGAGGTCGACAACATATCGGTCAAACGTAGCAAAGTTCGTTCA